CGGGTTCCGACCCACCGGGTGCCATGACCCACTGCCGGCTGAAAATGAAGCCCCACCGAAGGATCGATGAGATGTCGATCCTGGTGCTCATCAATAGGGATTCCACAGAGTAGAATTTGGAGTTGTTTAACTTGTGCGTATCCCATTCCCAGGGCAAACCCATTTTGGATGAGGACGCTTCGGGCGCAGGCCGACGTCCATCTCTGCTTCGTTCTCGTTGAATCCTCCTTTGATCGACGGCTCGACCGGTTTCCAGGGACACCAGGAACACCCCCTCTCCGCTCTGGGCTCGGGGAAACGGGGTCAGTCCAGCACTGAAGCTGGAGACCCCTCCCCGAAACGTGCTGATCAAAACGACCATATCACACCCAGCCTGTGACCACACGAACAGACGAAGACACATGGAAATGGAAAACTACACCACCTGTTTTGGCATTCGGAAAAGCGCGGAAAATAGAACTTATGCATTTTTCAAAAGAACACGTTTTCCACTTCCATGTGAGTGAGGTAGCATGTAATTCCAGCCTTCTCGATTCCTCTCGCCGACGCTTTTGGCCGCGGCCCGCAGGAAGTGCCACACCGCATTCACGGCTCCCTTCTCGATGGCGTCAAAGAGATCTCGACCTAACCGTTTGTCGACACCCAGAGGAAGGCTGAAACTCTTGTTGGGAAAGAAAAATAAAAATAAAACATCCTGTGACTCAATCGACGGATCTTCTTGAGAGATCCACACTTGGCTCAAGTGGATTCTCCTTCTGTGGGCCCTGTGGCCTTCGAAACTAAAGGATCTGAAGACCACCGAGAGCACATGGATCGGCACCGGGTGTAGATCCGTTCGGATCAAGCAAGCCAAGTTGCCAAGGTCTTCAAGTACCCAGACTCCAAACACTCCATGGGACTCGAAGACAACTGCAAATACACCTACATTGACCCCTCAAATCACACCGTTGTAGGGAAATATGCCATACTTATTTAGGTATATCGCATTCCCAGCACCTAGTGGATAATGATGGTGACTAGTGGAAATCCTTCTCGAAAATAGTGATAGATAACAGGCTTAGTGGGACCACACCCTAGCCACACTTAGAAGGTCTGGGTAGGCTGTTGATCACGAAACCCAGCCCACGCTTCCAAAACCTGGGCTTTGGCTCACTTGCAAACACGGGATCCCGTCTGATGGATTCTCACTTCCACCGTAAGCTGAAAGCAAGCATGCAAACCCCTCATGAAACACCCAGGAAATTGGACTGCCTGGCATGTACCACAGGAGTCTAAAGAATATGCCACAAAGACTTTCGCTTGACTCAAACCTCAAACCCATCTTGTTCAAGTAACGACTTGAAGCGAATCGATGCAGGAAACCACTGAGATCTGAGAGCTCAACATGATTTTGCTTCAGCTTCGTCAGCCTACGAGCAGCGTAGCAGGCTCCACTTCAAAAGCGCTATGGTCCTTGGATGGCCTTCCTTTGTTTCATGGGCTCAAAGTACTGATTTCCACAACACTCAGTTTGTTACTTGTCACTGCCATAGTATGATAATATGACATAGTATGAAATAGTATGACATCGTCTGGTTCGATGAAATTCGCTGCTGCTTGTGGCGGCGTTGGGTCCAAAAGAATCCCATAAACCACGCTTGTTGTTGGCTGAGTCCTCGGACTGCCCGGAGATGCTCGCGGAGCGGCTTTCTCCGCGCCCGTTCGGGTCCCACGGGTCCTACGGGTCCCCACCGGGTCCGGCCTCCTCCATCGACGGGTTCCTGGCAGGTGGAAATACCAAGGAGCGACATGGGAGGAAAGCGAGCGACATGAGCGATGGGTCGACGGGTGTGCGGAACGTTCAAAGGTTTGGAGTTCCTGAGTTCGAGAAGCTCGAGATGGAAGAAAACGAACGCTCAAAAACTCGAGATGAACAACACAAATGATCTCCCCATCATTTGGTTGGCATTCAGCATGCATTCAGGTGATTCATCTGCGCTCTGTATTCCCTTCTTCCTAAGCAAACTAAATAACAAGAAAAAATATGTTTGAGACACTCCTGCAGACCAGCATGGACACACAAAAACTCCTCCAGGACATTGCCCGCTTCACTTCCGTGTTAATATTCAGTCTTGCCAAAGGGTAAGCACATCGACCACGTGACTCGCATTTCGCAATACATCGACCACGAAAAGCACCAGGAGCGTTAATTCCTCCGAGCACGAACTGGACAACCGTCTCAGGTGGTACAGAATGGGACAGTAGGATCCGCCTCAAACACATTCCAACGCCAGTCTTTTTGCAAGATGAAGCTACAAATTCCTGGAAAAGCAAGATCCTTTTAGCCGGCACCCTTACGTTAGAAAACCATAGAAAACCTGGTAGAACAAGCAGAAGAAGTCTCTTCCAAGTTCCGGACGACTGCAGGGACAGGACGCGGACGCGCGCGGACGCGGCCTGGGCAGTGCCGGCGCACTGGGCCAAAGCAGTGTCGATCAGCCGGAGCTCATCGTCTATGTCTATGTGAACTGTAACCGTCTATTGGAACATGTTGGAGCACTTTCTATTGTCAATTGAGAAAGTGAGTGATGTCTGGAGGTTAAGTTTGTTGGCTTACTAGTTCACACTAATGATGTGAAAAGGTTTGATGGTTGTTGAAAACTTCATGATGTACTGTATTTAGTGGATTGTTGCGGTTCGCATCAGCAGTTTTTGCTGCGGAAATCCACTCTAAAAATGGCCACGTAAAGCAGGTTGCGAAGTGTTTGTCATCACCCAAGCTGACTGAAACGAAAAAGACGAGATGTCTTGACTATGCCCTCAACACCAAAGCAAATTGTACATGGGTGCATTGTCCCGCAATATGCCTCATCGGCCTAGCTTCATTTTGCCTTTTTTTGTGACTTTCTCATCATTGTCCAACTATAGTTATAGCCGCAAGAGAAACAGGGAAACTGTTGAAAGATCGCATCCTTGCCAGGCGCTTTTTGACGGCACTCTGCCTGGCACCTGAGCAACTCCCTGAACCCATTGTTTTTCTCGAACTCATGAGGGACTTCCCTCTGGAACAGTGGATGATGATGATGATGATGATGATGATGATGATGATGAACGTGCCCTCCCTTGCACTTTTGCATCATCCACTGTGAGGTTAAACCAGCTGAAGCCACTTCGGAGCATGGTGTTCATTCCAAGTTAATTCCTGCTGAGGCATCTTTCTGAGCTTAGAAGTATAGTAAAGTAAAGGACACATCTCCCATCTTTGTCATCCGAAAAAAAAGCCACTGAAACATGTCATGCAACACAGCCTAGTTCAATTGACCTTGCTGAATCTGACCTCTGAGCCCCATGAGGTATAGTGAAAGTGAGCGAAGTCCTTATGATTCATACAGTATGTGACATTGTTCGCCAAACGCTCTGCCAGCCCTTCAGTTCATTTCGTCTCCTCAACCTGATGTGCTCAAGCCGCTTCACCCCGGACGTGAACTCTCCAGTTAGTATAAGAAACCCACTTGAAGGGAAGCAAAAGTGGCTGACCTCCCGTTCCAAAGATCAGGTTTTTCCTCGACTTCGTGGGTGAGACATGTCTGGCTGTCTGGCGCCTTCCATGACTGTCGTGACCTGCACTGCCACGTAACACTGAATGTCCATATAGGATAAACCAAACTCAAAGTGTACGTCAAGTGGCCCAAAACACTTCAAATGCCTGGGAATCGGGTTCCGGCACCTGACACTGCCTCGTGTTAGCTCTTCCAGCTTTTCGAAGTCCCCAAAGATTCATGGCAGTAGGAAAAGTACCTTTCACCCCGTGGGCCACCGGCAGACAACGGGTGCTATTCTTTGGCTTCACATCCAACTCAACCACTCCACTGTGTGGGCGGGAGGCACACCTGGCACCCCCGGTACTAACCAAAAGAACATGGAAAAATCGAACTGACCCTCCCATGTCCTCTTCGATAGTCTTCTCATGTCTTCTTTCGAGGTTCATCTGTTGATTGAACCCCACGAGGGGCTGGACCCCACGATGATACTTTGTCTTGAGCCTCCGCCCCAAAGAGTTATAGGCTATAAGAAGCTTCCCCAAAAATTGCGGGAGTTCTGCCCCAGCTCCCAACCCCTTCACTCTCTTCGTAGGAGTCACGGCGCCCTAATGAGCAGCCGCTTCGGTCGAGTTTCAGTCTTGCACAGTGCTCAAATCAGTACTTTGTAGGTTTTCTCGACTGGTTCTGCTTCATTCCAAGGGAACCTCCACCTCGAAGAACCTGCTCCTTTTGTTTGACCCAGAACCTTTTACATCTTCCTCCCGTCGATATCAAAAGGCGCTCACCTCCATGGCCTTGATAGGCTCCATTCACGGCGCGCCGATGACTCCTCCGGGGACCCAGGCGATTCCTCGTGCTCCAAGGACTCGCAGCCGATTCGGCTGGTAGGGCGGGAAGAGTGTGAGCTGAAAGCCTCTCCTACAGATCGATTGGTCTCTGAGTTGGGGTCATTATAGCCTAAGATTCTGTGGTAGGAGGTCGGAGGGGGGTCCAAAGCTCATCATCGGTCAAACTCGGTGTTTTGCAATGAAAAGCCCTTTGTGTTCTGCCCTGGTGATTACGCGTGTCGTGACGGGGAGCGCCCAGGGGACACCTGCTGTGCCTAAATACCTCTCTTGCAGTGCTTCCCACTGATGCTTGGGCCAAGAGCCATGAGCAGAGAACTGCTTTCATGTTCAAAGCTGCTTGGATTGAACCAGTGTGCCAGCTGAAGTTGGATGTGTCTAGCTGCGGTGGGCTCAAGCCCAGTCCAGCATCAAGAATTGTTAAGTATTAGTATGTAATTGAGTATTTGGGGATGATCGGATGCCCCAATTCGTTACACAGCCAAAGAACAACTACTCAACTTGCTCAGGATACATACAGTCTCCATGTTCCAGAAGCAGCTGCTTCTGCGGCAAGACTTTTGCAAACATCTTTTTCTCGAAGACCATCTGCTTTGGATCACAATGTTCGCGGTGGTGTGGCCTTTGACACCCTTCATGCAGCTTGTCGCCAGGCTTGGGCGATTTCCTCTGCAACCTTCTGAATTGACATGGCAACAGCATCGATGTAGATAAGACTCTTCCGAAACACGTACGTGTTTTGAATTCGGCCAGCCTCATCCGGAGGCCTGGGGGGCCAATCCTGGCACAGTTTCACGGGGATGATTGGAATCCGATTCTCCCAAGCGTACTCGAGTTCCTGGAAGGTCTCGTAGCCTACGTCTGTTTGTGAGCCATAGTCCCACTCACAGAACGCTGCCATCATCCTCATCTTCACTAATCCTTCCCTGGTGGCGGAGCTGAACTGCTGGCTGGCGACCACATCGACCATGAAAGTCTCAATGCCATAGCTTTCAAGTGCTACTTGCACCAGCCGGATGTACTCAACCCTCTCTGTGGTATTGAACCTTCCAGACAACATCAAATGCCGTCTGTGAATTGGCGGAGGTGGTGGCCGGGGCACCTCTGGCGCAACTGGTGGGGGCTCTGCCGGTGGGTTTGGCGGAGGGTCTGGCGGAGAGCCCTGCAGTGGAGGAGGAACTGGGTTCTGGATCAGTGGAGGAGGTGGGGGAACTGGCAATGGTTGGGGAGGTGGATCAGGCATTGACATTGACCTGTCTGGAAAGTCAAAGGTGTACATCCGACGTCGGCTTCTTCCAGTCTCTGGGTCAACCACCTCCATCTCAACATACAACTGATGGGTCCAATGAATGTCCAACGGAACCTCGAAGCCCTCAGAGATCTGAACTCCACTCTCAAAGTTCAAGTGAAAGCTTTGGATCACCTCTCCATCCTGCAAGATGTGAATTTCTCTCTGAGGACTAAAGAGATCAACCGCTTCCTCCACCACACATCTCACGACTCCATCCATCCTTTGATTGAGGTCCTGTTCACAAGTTGGGCAGTCAGCTTCAAGAAATGCTAGTCTCCCTTCTGGAGCCTCTGATGATGCGCTTGGGTTCAAAAATGCTACAGCTTTCATTACAAAGTCTGTCCTCTCTGGTCTGCTGGAGTAAAGCTGGCAAAAGTGGCTCAAGTAGACCTCCATGTATCCATGGCGAAACTGCGCTGGCACCTGTTCCCAGCTGCCGTCAGAGTTGGACCGCCAGGCAGCATTGGCCCCGATGTGTGTGGGCACCAGAAAGCGCACAGGCTTCTGGAAGTTCACCCCCTCCGGTGAGAGCTGTAGCAAATGGCTTGCAGGCATCATACCCTCTGGCAGCTTGAGCGTTCCAAAATCAATGATCTCGATTGTAGGCTTGTGTTCTAGAAAAACTGATGATGGTGTCACCATCAAGATCTTCTGAAAAACCTCTGGCACACCAAACTCCAGTTCAATGTCTGGCAATTGCAAGACATCAATGGTAAGACCGGGCTTCAATATGGAAAGTTCCCGCAGTGCTTGCATGCCTTTCTCACCAAAGGGATTATGGCTCAAATGCAACTCTTCGACTGGATGATCTTCATCTTTCAGGGCATGGGACAGGATTTCCACCTCATAGTCTGCAAGGCCACATCTCTTCAGGTGTATCGACTTCGCATTGGTCTGGGCTATAGCAAGAACTGCGTCATGTTTGAGAGACATCTGACTGAGCACAATCTTGTCCAATTGCTCGTAGAAGCGCAATGCTTCACACTGAAAATCTACAGCCTCTTCGTGCAGCTTCTCCAGTGTCAGACTTCTGCACTTTGAGACTCTCTCAAGAAAAAACTTCCTGTGGACTTCCTGAACAATCCTCTTGTCATCGTCTTGGGTAAAAACAAGCTCATCAATGAGCATATTGAACAAGCGAGGTAGCAAAGGGATAGAGTGAGAGCTTGAGCCAGGGGTTCGCGGACTTGACCAATGCTTTTCACCTCGCCACCATCCACGATCACTGCAAGGCGTGTCTTTCATCGTCAGGTCTTTGATGGCCATCTCACTTACTTTTCCGGCCTCTTCAGAAAACACTGGGATGAAACCATCAGCTTTCTCAGTCTCTGGTGTCAGGCTCTCCAATCTGTGCACCGTAATGGCATTGTGAGCATAAAGCACGTGTGCGTTCCACAAAGCGTGAGAAACCGCTTGGATCTGTTCTTCGGTACGGTCACCTCGCTGATACAGTGAAGTGTAGTCTACAAAAACCCACACCAAGCCCTCGGCTAGTGCAGGACGACACTCTTCGATCAACCATTGAAGCTGATATCCCCAAGGGTCTGGATGTTCCAATGTCTCCCACGGGTGTGATATGGAGTGCAAGGATACCCTCACTCTGCTTGGGGGGAAGTAGTGTCCAGGGTTGCTGATCAATGTGGTGATGTGTCCCATCTCATCCAATTCCAACTCCATAAGTTCTTCGCGGCTCACGATGGCAGTGCGCTTGCTACTGGTCATCTCATGCTCAGCATCCTGCCGGCGCGGTAGTTGGTCGCCACGAGCACGTAGCTCCATCAAGTATTCCAAGCGGATCAAGCCAATTTGCGCGTCCAAGAGGAGGTTCACAAGGCTTTCCAGATCCTCCAAGCTGTGCTCACCTCATGGATGAAAAGGTTTTGGAGGCCAACAAAATACTTGCGGCTGAAGAAGCAAGCGGATGAGCACCTATTTTATGAATCACAGGTGAATCATTGAATCACAGTACACAAAGTATGGAAGCGGAACCTGTCGTCACATGAGAGTAGCAAAAGACAATTTCATGCCCTCCATCCGATCCTATCCCGCTCAAGTTGAGTTCTGTGCAGGGTCTTTGCACGAGTCATCACCAATTCAGCACATCAAGAGGCACCTCTCAAGCTCACTTTGCATTCTTATCGTGTGAAAAGGACTCCTTGAAATTTACAGCTGCGCCGTTTTGGTGAACTCCACTCGCTAAAGATTATAGGTATCCCAGGAAACAATGGCGTCGTGCAGCTTTTTCCTCGGGGAAACCAATAATCACACATACGTAAGTTTTGCGGGAAATATAGCTCAAATGCGTCGGCGAGTTCGCTCAACAACTGGACGTCCGGTGCTTCTGAGAATAGACCCCACTCAACTTGCAGTTGGGGAGAAGAAAGAGTGATGAACCTCCCACTCTCTGACTCCGAGTCACTGCGACGAGAGAGGTCAGGGTCAGGGCAGTTGGGGGCCTCAGACGCCTCAGACCCAGCGAAGAAACCAATCAAACTAGATAGAAGTGAATATCTCGAAAACATGCCTCATGGAAGCCAGATTGAGGCCAACCTGAAAAATTAATAGAGAACCAGGAGTTCGCTGAGAAATGTATCATTGAAAAGGGACACACAAATCAATACATAAATAAATAAATGAAAAAAAATAAATAAATAGATATATATATATACATATGTGTGTGTGTGTTTGTTATATATCTTTAAATATATGTATACACATAAGTGTCTGAATCTGGCTTAATCAAGAATGGATCTATAAGCCCTAAGTCTGCAAAGCCGTGCAGGAGACACATCCAAACTAAGCCCTTGTACATAAATTGCTGTGCTGTTTGGCTGCTACAACCGCTTGTACATAATCATCATGGCCAATTCTTGCTTCCTCCATGGTCATGGTGGTCTCTGACCTTAGAAATCGCATTTGCATGGGATGCGTAAGTAGCATGAAACAAAAACACATGAGCTAGACTTAACTTGACTAATCTTAAAGAACTTGTGGGATATGGCAGTTGAGATATTGCGTGCTCTCAAACTGTTCCAAGATACAACTTCGCACCCACTGCAGTGATCAAATATGCAATGCTAACTCCCAACCTCTGCCTCAGCAAGAAATAAATCTGACAACGTGATATTCATCGTGCCTGGTGTCACAACATTGATGGGACTCAGCCAAAAAAATGGAAATGCCATCTCGTGTGCCAGGTAGGAATGGTCAACAATCACCCTCTGTCAAACTCCTGGCAGTGCACATGTAGAGTTTGCTGCTTGCATTTGAACAATTTGTAAAACTTGAAAATTATGGGCAAACCAAACCTCTTCCATTCTACCAGTTTGCCTGAAGCATCCACTGTTGAACATGATTCAAGCGCAGAAAAAAAGAACATATCGCATCCACCTGTTTGCACTGGAGATGTCGGCATCCTCCTCTAACATCCAGTTCAGAACAAAATGACGACACCATATCACCTGATCGCTTCAACGTTGCTGGGCTTCCTTCTGGAGCTCATTCACAGTGCGAGCTGGGTCTGCTCTACCTGCCACAAACTCAGTGCAGGAATCTCTTGAGATCTGCGTTTCGGGCAAATTTTCCCGGTCGGTCTGGTTTTATTTCGAAACATGATGCCAAACCTGCGGCTGTACGAACGCTTGGGTTGGAACATGATGCAAATGAAAGAACACTAGAGAGTGGATCTAGATTCGTCTGCTGAATTTTTCTGCCATCAGCAACTGACACAATCTCGTAGAACAAATCCAACTCCAGTCAGCCAGGCTACACCAAGCCCCTCTTCCACTGAGCAATACCACAGAAACCTGGCGGCAAGCAAACCCTCTCGGCAGTTGCGTCTCACATGCTGTAAATGAGTCCAGCCGTTAAACACTCAAAAATGAATGCTTGGTTGAACTACTACTAGCACCGCGGATTCCGGCTCTACTTATTGAACAAAGACCTAGAATTCTGCTTTGCCCCACGAAGGGAGTTTTCCACGTGTCTATGCGCATGCAGCCCCTGCGGCCTGAGGACCACGTGCCCTGAAGACAAAGACATGTGTCAGCGAAAAAGAATTGCACACTCCAGATTTCAAGGTTGCCGTGTTTTCGGGCAAACGTCGCACGCTTACAACAAGTACAAGTGGGCTTTAGTTACGACAAAGGCGTCCATCGCAGCACTCCCTTTTTCTATCAAATCACACACAACAAATGCTATCTATAAAATGCCAAAAGCCTAAAACTCGGCCTAAGACGCTGAAGACGTTTTGAATCTTATTGAGTTTCTACAAGGAAAGGGCTTGAGTTTTTACGTGTTTCTTGTTGTTTAGGAGGCAGTGTTTGCCATGGTGACACAAGGTCTTTCAGGGTTCTAATCCGTTTAGTTTAATGTCAACATAGGATTAAGTAACCTCCCCTATTATGGTACATCACCCTAATGTTTGTCTTGCAGAAACCTCCCCTATTATTTATTTGTTTGACCCATATCTATATAATATCTTCTGGTCCATGGTGAAACTGATCTTCTGATCCACCCTTGTCTCACGCCATCTCTTTGACAGATGGCATTCTGATCCACCCTTTTCCCATGCTGATCCTCTCATCCATCAATCATTCTGATCATTCTGCTTGCTCTTCTCATTCTTCCCAGCAAACTGCATATGGATCTTCCTCCCCAGCCTCTTCCCCTCCCTCCTCATCCAACAGGCCGTGCGTTTCCAGACATTGCAGTCCATACACCCACTGGAATACCTGCACTTGCTGCATACCCCAATCCCACCCAACTCAATCTCGGCTTTGGCTTTCAAATAGGCTGATGGAAGCTCACCCACCCTCAAAGCACCACCCTCATTCACCAATTTCCAAGCATCCTCCTGTATCTTGGTCATCTTCTTATTTTCTGCCTTCATCTTCTCAGCCAACGCTGCCATCTTCTCCCTCTCCTGCTTCATCTTCTCCCCAAGCTTCTGATCCTTCTCATCCTGCTCCCTCATAGCCTTGATTCTATTCTCCCTCTCAATGTCCAATTGCTGACCCAGCTTCCTCATCTTGCCGATCCAATTCTGGGCAGCAACCCATGGCCATCCAATCCCTGCTGGGCCATACCCCATGGCATCAGCAACATCCTGCTCCGTATCCCTTCTTTTGCCTCCCGGACCAGCTGCGGCGCGCATGGTGCCTGTCGCGCAGATTTCGCCGCAGGCACAGCACTCTGTGAACCCAGTGGTCGCCCCTGGCCCGCGGCTGCCTGTTGTGCAGATTTCGCCGCAGGCACAGGACTCTGTGAACCTGGAGTGCAGATTTCGTGGCAGGCGCCGTACACAGAGCCTCCCGGACCAGCTGCAGCGCGCGTGGTCGCCGCTGGCCCGCGGCTGTGTGCGGCTGCCTGTTGTGCAGATTTCGCCGCAGGCACAGGACTCTGTGAACCTGGAGTGCAGATTTTGGTGGCAGGCGCAGTACACATGAGTCTGCAGGGCCAGATTTCGCTGCAGCCTGGTGAACCTGGAGTTGCAGATTTGGTGGCAGGTGCAGGACACAGAGCCGGTGCTGCTGCTGCATGCGAAGCCGAAGCTGCTGACATGGCAGCTGTAGGTGTTCCTGTTTCTGGCTGCAAAGACGGAGGTCTGACAGAGGGTGTGACAGGTGTGGCCATGGCTCCCTCTGCCTCTGTTGTTGTTGTATTCTCTGTTTCCGCTGCTGTGGCTTCTGCTGGTTGCAAAGCTGTGGCTGGGGTAGAAGGTAGCTCTTGGCCTGAAGGCTGCGGCTGCGGCTGCGGCGTCATTTTCTTTCTCTTTCCTTATATTGTCCTTCTGTTTTACACTTGCATTTCCTCACCTTTGCTTTCCTTTTCTTTCCTTCACCTCTCCTGTTCCCCTCCTTACCTGACAACAAAGAAAAGACCAGGTATGTAAACTCTCTCTCTCTCTGTCTGTCTGTTTGTCCTCAAAAACATGAACCCTGGCAAATGCGATTCCACGTAGTATACGCGCGCGCAAGTACACACAAATTCACCTCTACATGTTTTTTGGAGACCAGTAGTCCGGATACACCTCTGTTGAAAGTCTGGGCGGGATGAGTATTCGGCAGGGCCCTCGGAATACGCCGCGGAGAATACTCGTGGAGGATCGGCGAGTTTGGTGTCAGCCACTCCGATCTATATCACTCGAACCGTTGAAACGGAACACCAACACAACAAACAACCGAAAGTAACAAGTAAAGTCCGTCGTGACCGCGACGAGGCAGCGGCTGCGGACCTTTTTACCACTTGAGCCAAAAGTACAATGTTCATGAACTGTGTCTATACATATGAGGTGTACTTTACACAGGAAACTTCAAGTCCCCCCTCATAGTGAGATGAACATATGTACAGCTAGTATTCCAGGTCTGAGACAGTCGCTTCATTGATTGAACCGCCTGTGACCTGACAATTCCTATCGAAAGACTGCAAGCGAACATTACAGGCTTACGAACGGCTTTTAGGGAGCGGCGCTTATAGCAGCCAGTCACCCTGCATGCAAGCTTGGCGCTATGCTCGGCAATAGCACTGTCGACATGCATTGTTCGAACTCTCATTCTTTGCAGATCTAACTTAGTTTGGAACTGCTGCTGGTTATCGCTTAGCTCTAACCATTTCATTCATTGCAGATCTAGCTTAGCATCGAACTGCGACTGACTATCGCTTAGCTCTAGTCATGCGAGCTCCTGCCTGCATCATAAGACGGGAGCGGACTCAGGCAGAACTGCAACAACTCTAAAGCATTTCCCCATTTGGCTAACGGCAATCCTTTTGTAAACACGTCACCCTTTTGCTGAGTCGTTTCGATATGCTGGACTGTGATGTCATCAGCATTATTTATTGTCTCGGCAGTTGAAGCCGGGGTTTTACTCAAATGCCTCAACTTGTTGGAGCAACCTTCAGAATAATCGAGACCACGGCCGTATTGTCTTCGAAAATCTTCAGGGTCATCCCAGGGATCAACTCTTGCCACACTTGCAAGGTTGGGATTGCCTCTGAGAAGAGGGCTGTGGAAAGCGAAACAAACTCGCTCTCCGTTGTTGAACGGGAAACTACGCGTTGCCTCTTAGTACCCCGGCTCACCGGAGCAAAGCTGGAGGGACCCGACACTGCAAGCACGAATCCAGAGGTTGAGCGCATTGACTTGATGTCACCACCGAAGTCGGCATCGCAATACAGGGAGAGATGCTCCGGCGGATCACGAATGCACATCACGGGGGACTTGTGCAAGTACCCAATGAGTCGTGCGACCCTTTTATCGTCGTTGGCTGACCACACCGTTATGTGTTGGCGTCGGCTGGGCACCGGCGCTTGATGTGCAGATTTCGTGGCAGG